GAGGCTGCCCTCGGCAGCGCCCCATGAGGCGGGGCACGGCCTGGCCCCGCCCCCGGCGCAGTGTGACCTTCGCCGGCTGCCGTAGCCGGGGGACGCTGGGACATGGCGGCGGCGGCGCGCGGCGCCCTGGCGGGTGGGTGGCGCGCGGGTGGCGCGCGGCGGCTGAGGGGAGGCGGGCGGCCATGTCGGGCCGGGAGCGGGGGGCGAGGGGGTCGCCTGCGAAATGGCGGCGCGGGGCGGGATGGCGGGGCGTCTCCTGAGGATCCCGTTCTCCGTAGGGCTCCTGGGGCGCTGGGCCGCCCGCTGCCCCGCCGCGGGGCGGGCTCTCTCCGGCCTCTCCGTCCGGCGCGTCACGGAGGTGCGGGCACCGGCACCGGCCCCGCTGTGGAAACCGCGGCTGCTCTGGGGAAACCTGCCCGGCGGAGGCAGCCCCTCGGTCCTCGGCAGGTACGGTCTGCGCGGGTCTGTAGAGAGAAAGATTGAGGTTTATATAAACCTCTATATAAACCTCTGTGTCTGAGCGGCTTCGTGGACTGTTTATTCTGGCAAACGGGTCTGGTTTGGCCTTAAGTATCCCAATGTCTTGAACAGAAGAAGATTCACCTCAACGCAAGGAGGCAGCTTTGAGGGTGGCAGAGCACTGGAACAGGCTGCCCAGGGAGGTGGTGGGTCTCTGTCTCTGGACACGTTCCTTTTGGACAGGATGATGTCCAGAGGTCCCTTCCAGCCCCGTACCATGCTGTGGCTCTGCTGGGCGCAGTGCTTGAAGCAGGATGTAAAGCAGAGCGTGCTGTGCAGACGCAGGCTCTACAGACGGGCTCGTTGTGATCAGCACTGTCTTGCTGATAACATTAATGTTCTAAAAGTAATTTCTGAATGCCAGTAACGATTTAAATGTTTGACCACTGTTAGTAGATGACAAAGCTGTTGTGTGTGGAAACCAATAACTGAGATGAATGCCAGGGTGAGTTCAGCAGCGCAGTTAGTGTTGGTAGATGCGCCCTCCCTCATTCAGAAAAGCCAGTGGTTACTTTTAGAAAAAGAGGTTTCATTCCTTTTCTACTTCTTTCCCCTGGTTTGGGGGTGTTTTGGTTTCGTTCTTTAGTGTCACATCTCTGCTTCCAAGTCTACTGCAGCAGCCAGCGAGGACGCTCACTTACTGCAGCTTGCGGAAGGGGAAGAGGAAAACGGTGAAAGCTGTCATCAATAGGTTTCTGCGGCTGCACAATGGCCTTTGGGTTAGGAGAAAGGTAAGATTTTTCTGGCCATAAAAGCGTGTCCTTTACAGCCAGTGGGCTAATCGCTTTCCTTCCGTTAGAGGGCAGCAACTAGCCTGAAAGATGAAGGAAAAAACAACAAAAAAGCAAGCTCTGTAGAGAGACTCCCATCTTCCTGAGAAGTGGGGGATTTGTCCAGGTTTGCTTATCAGTATTGCTGTATATGTGTATTCGCAGTGACCTACTTTAAAGTCTTTTATGTCTTTTCTTCTGACAGGCTGGTTATAAGAAGAAGCTGTGGAAGAAGTCAGCTGCGCAGAAGAAGCGTTTGAGGGAGCTGGTGTTGTGCACTAGGACGCAATGTAAACTCCTTGATAAAATGACCACTTCTTTCTGGAAAAGAAGAAATTGGTATGTTGATGATCCCTACCAGAAGTACCACGATCGCACAAATCTTCGCGTGTAGAAATCCTGGTTTCATTTTGGCATCTCTCTAGGGAAGAGGAGGTGGTATATGTGATATAGTCTTAATTTTAGAATAAAAACCTGTGATACCTGTTACTTTTCTAAATAAACATGCGTATCATCTGATCAGAGCTATGAGTATCAGTGTCCCAAATAAAGGAATATTCAAGATTATTTTGAGCTACAGTTTGTATTTTACTTAACAGGGGTCAAGCTGGTTTCCTACATGTTCTGGTGTCTGTTGGTTTCCTGTGATTGTGTATAACATTTGTAGATGGATGAATGCAATTTAAACATCACTAAAAGTGAATAATTCCACATATGTTAAATTTTTTAAAAGAAATATGTTTAAGTAACCCCAGGATGTATTTTGCTGTGTCCATACTTATTGGTAGCTCATCGAATGGAGCCTTCCCTGGGGAAGGAGAGCAGGTTGTGTGGCAGTATTGTGGCCTGTCATGGTACTACATAAACTGTTGCCACGTCTCCACTCTAGAGAGCTCTAGAGAGCATGGGATGGTGAGACACTGGAACAGGTTGCCCAGACAAGTTGTGGATGCCTCATCCCTGGAAGTGTTCAAGGCCAGGCTGGATGGGGCTTTGAGCAACCTGCTCTAGTGGGAGGTGTCCTTGCCCATGGCAGGGGGTTGGAACTTGATGATCTTTGAGGTCCCTTCCAACCCAAACCATTCTATGATTCTAGATGAGAGGTTTCTTTACAAAGCCAATATTCCAGCAAGCGCATGAAAAGGAGTCACTTCTAGCAGTATTTTCATAACATTCACTATTAATTACCCCATTATTAAGCAGATAGCCCCTGGCAGCAGGAGCTGGTTTGCTGTACAAGGAATTCACCGGTTACTCAGAGTGTTCAGTAGCTGTATTTTTTTTTTCCAGTTCATAATACAGAAAGAAGTTCTGAAGGACATGCAGCACTTAGTGAATACATCCATATACAGTCAGCCAGAATTGAGATAAAAATAATACAGCCATCAAAGGAATTATTCTGGCCTGCCAGATACATTGAACAGACTAAAGGTGGCTTTTTTTTTTTTTTTTTCTTTTTTTAAAAGAAAAGATTAAGACTTTATTCAAGATGTATATCAAGCAGTATAACAAAACCAGCAAAACATCAACCTTTGGAGTACTGTTACAACGGCCACCCTCGTGAGGCATTAAATGTACCATTTCATCACAGCTCGTTTCTACTGACCACAGGACAGAAATCACATGAAGTGCACGATGACGGTCCTTAAGTAGGTTGTCGAAACGCAAATCCCAGCGTGGTGTTCTCTGCTATTTCAAAAATAGGGTGCTAAATGCAAAAAACCCGAAACAAACAGCGAAAAAGGAGCCTGTGATTAACGAGCGTTGGGTCACAAGTGGGAGGGTCTGTGGTTCCGTGAGCACACGCCACAGAGCAGTCGGAGGCCGCAGGTTGTTTACATGAGGCGAAGGAACATCGCATCTCTCCAAGCAGCTTCTCCCTCTGGTTGGGGATAAATAACCGGGTTCTCCTCTCCTCCTGTGCTGGGTTTGCATTCATACGATCTAGATTGGTGTGGGGTTAACGCCACGGTGAGGGCGATACGCGTGAGGTCTGTCTTGTCTGCGTTTGCTGTGATCCTGATCCAGCAATGGGTGACTGCTGTCACCGCCGACACCGGCCCCTGAGGCGAGGAGGCGAGGAGAGCTCTGCGCTGAGCTGCTCTGAGCTTGTTCCCCTCAGAACTAGGTGAATTTATGCTGAATTGGTGAAGTAATTCACCGGCCCGTTTTTCATCAACCATCTTCAGCTGCGGTTTCCTTCTCCCCAGCCTCAATATTGCAAAAATCATGCTCCCAGCAATGCAAGTTTCACTCGAGCCTGGTGCTGGGGGAAGGCTGTATCTATTTCCTGGGGCTGGCCTGCTCCTGCAGGCACCTCTCCTCTCTGAGAAGTCGGGAGGTGCCTGCCTGCCCCGGAGGACTGATGGGAGAGACCAGCTGCCTCAAAGTGCCCCACAACTGGGCTTTTCCTCCTCAAGCCAGCTCTGTTGCTATTTTAAACCACGGGCTGTAAGATTCCTCGCGTCCTCTCTCTGCTGGAGCCCTGCAAACGCTCCTTTGCCGGGAGGGGTCGGTGCGGGCGCACAGCGGCGACTCGCTCCATCGGGATCGTTCCTGGGCAGAGACTCGAGGGAAAAAGGGGAACAAAAGCCTTCCCGTGTGGGGCGTTGGTTGTGGGTGAAGGCGAGTACCCAGAGAGCGACAGGACAGACTCGGGGCAGCACCTGTAAACAACCCCTGTGTGGAAGACGAGGGATGAAAAGCAAACGACCGTTCTCTCCCGTGTACAGAACGCTACGGCACCAAGTGTCATTAGGCATTCACATTTCTGGTCTATCTATACACAAATATACAGCTCAGTTGATAAATTAATACATTTTTGCCAGAGATATGAAAAGGTTTATTTTTTTTCTCATTTATACAGTGAATGTTTTGAGAGATATAAGGCAACTCCCTTGTCAACAATGTCACCTCAGCACTTAAGAAATGCTAAACAGTCAAGTTTACAGTAAAACAGCAGATTAGACACACATTTAATAATTTTAGTGAGAATCAATATTAATACAGCATGTATTAAGAGAGAATAGAATTTTTCAGCTGTTCTGTAGCTCTACCTTGTTGGGGTTTTTTGGCATGATTGAGTGCAAACTTGTCAGCTTTTTTATCTTACACAGCCCATTGCCTAGCAGGGAATCGTAGCTTGCAACAGGATTTTATTTTCTGCTAATACTGCAGGCGGTTTTTCTATTTCTTTTTAATGTTTGCCAAAAGAAATCAAATAAACTCTAAAGCTGCTTAAAAATAAAACACACAAGCTTAGCTCCTCAAAGCTTTTGCTGAGTATCTTCCAAGGACTGACTCTTCCGTAACTGCTATTTAGACAGGTTTGTTGGGTTGGTTTTTTCCATTTACTTTCTGAAGACTTTTTTTCCTTCTTACCCGTTATAAAATATGGCTGGATTAGCACACGTAAAGGAAATAAAATCCCCGGGTAATGAGGGGAAATATTGTGGCAGACACAGGAAATACCTGCTTCCTATTCCTAGCCAGGTCAGATAAACAGTCGTGTGCGTGCATCATTTATTTCTCTCTTCCCCACGTCTGTAGGAAGCTGTGGGGGAAACCTCAGGGATCCATCAGGCAGGGACAGCTGGGACATGGGTGCACACCCGGCAGAGAGGAGGTTTCAAAGGCCACGTCAGATTTATCTCTGAGCCTGACACACTCCCGCCGGCTGTTGGCATCCGGGGCTGCTGCACCTGAACTAGCTGAGCAGTGCTGCTCACCATCCAGCCCACCTACTGATCCACTGGTGATGGCACGTCCTACGTAACGCTAAATGCTTTTCTAGTCTATGTGACAGGTCCAAGAGCAAACACAAAGGGACACGTAGTTAACTTATGTGTGAATCTCACATGCTCAACACTTACAAGAGACACCAACTTGAAGCACAAATACACAAAACCCTACCACGTCTTCCTCTTCTTTTTTTTATATTTCTCATTTATATACAGATACGAACACACCACTCCATCTGGTTCTTGTGGGTCTAACCAAACTCCATGCTACAGGCGAAACTTCAGGCTTCAGCAAGCAGCTCAGGCCCAGGGCCCTGCTCTGCTGGGGCAGCAGCTCTGGGGAGAGCGGGGCGCTGGGACGGACGCTGCTGCGGGCAGGGGAGAAGGGAGAGTTTTCCCCTGGAAGCGCGTCACTAAAGCGGTTCTAACTTCTGTGGCCGCAGCTACGAGAAGCCTGGCTTGCTCACGTTTGAAAGTGGCAGTAGAAGGTTTGCCACAAGCGATGCGATCTAGCTCTTCTAGCCGCCATCATTCTCCACACAATACTCTCCTGGCTCAGGCTGATCAAAATTAAGACTCCCCCTTCATTACTTCGTTGAAACCATTTATTTTCTCTTCCATGTCTCTTCCTCGTCCTCTGTAAGTGGTTCTGTCTCTATGGTTTTTAGCGCAATGGTTTTCTCAGAATACACGTGATTTACTTGCAGAGAGAGAAACAGAGCTGCAGCTCAACTTTCGCTAATGAATCTTGGACATTTTGTACAGTCAAAGTACTTTGTTACATCATTCACAGCCTTGAGGAGGAAGGGAGGAAAGAGAAATCCATGGCTTCTGCCAATCCACGTCATTAATGATAAAGCCATAAATAAATACAGTGTTGATGAATCATGATGAATAACTGATTGGTTTTGTTTCCATTGTGCATTGACAGAGCGAGAGCGATGCAGACACAAATGAGAACTGTAAATGTACAGCCTTACAGGATTAGTGGGAGTGGGTGTACGCTCCACAAACAAAACAAGGACTCTTAACCCGCAGGTGTCTGCCAGACTGTCCTACCCACGTCACGGACAAAGGCAAGAAGCGTGTAACAGAAGGAGAGAGAGAGAGGAGAGAGAAAGGCCATGTCTACAATGCTGTACATCAAAGCACATCCATCCCACTGCTGTTTCCTATATTATTAACGAGTAGCTCTTTAAGGCAGAAGAGAGACATTCTGTGGATCTTGGTGCTATTGGCTCATTGCACTCACATTGTTTCAGTGGCAGAGGACGAGGTACTTTTCTTCCTGAAGCGAGGTCTAAGGGTCCTAGGCGGTGCCTGCGGAAAAGCAGGAGAAAAACGTCAGTGGCGTAATAGTAAATGTTTCTTCTTTCCTTAAAACTCACCTCTGTGACAATGATCCAGGCACGAAGTACTGGAGAAGCAGATCTTGGCCCTGAAGATCATTAATGATCTGAAGCTGGTCCCTTTAAGCTGAAGGCCGCTAAGAAACCCACTGTAGGCCTTTATCCAGGTCATACCAACGTTTTTCCTCTGTGGCGCTTGGTTAGAGGTGTGGCTAAAGATTGCTAATAACATCACAGTCAGAGGGGCCAGGACAAAGTGGTGCCGTTTATGACAGCTCTTGGATGAAGAGAGCAAACTGGTGGCAGAAAGCCAGCGCTGGTGTCTCCCAGCCCACCCTGCACCAACCCACCTGCAGCCCCCCTGAGGTTACAGCTCGTTGGGGCATTACAAAGCTGAAGGACTCCCCACGGTGAAGCACTGGGCAGAACTCTTTTAAAAGATCAGCCCTTCGCTTGGGGGACAGGCCAGACACAATCCACTGAAATTATTTTAGAAGCCAACTACTGCCATTCTGCCCTGCAGCCAGCTGATACAGACAGCTTTAAAAAGGAGCCCTGAACGCCCAGGAGGAGCCAGACCAACTCCATGAAATTGGTTTATTTTGATAAACCCCATTCCCCAACTGAGACAGAAACTAGTCAGACTAGCAAACAAAAAAACCCACCGCACTCTGCAGTGCATAGTTCTCTCAGAAGAACTTTGGCATGGCTTTGTGTCTTGCCAGCTTGAGAAAAAGAAATGGTTACCAGATGTTGCAGAGGAGGACAAATTCTCAGTGTGGAGGCCTGTCATAGCATCATGTAGCACTGCAAGGCCTGGGAAGCTCTTCTACCCATTTACATAAATATCTAAAGTTTTATTTTCTTTAACAGCATCAATTCATTTATCTGTAAGACCACAACAGGGTCTTACAATTCATAAGTGAGGACTTTGTAATTTCTATTTTATAGGACTTTCCAACACAAGATCATACTCTATTTCCACATTCCACGATGCAGCAAGGTATAAATATTCATAGATAAGGAACTGCAGCACAGCAAGGTTTTGTTTAGTCTCCATCTAAATCTCCATCTCTTCCAGCTTGTCCATAAACCAAGGCAGTTTTTCACAGAGATGGGATTAATCCAACACCCTACTCCATCTTCCAAGCCTGTAATTTTACCCCAAGTCACCACTTTGAAACCCCCAAACCACAACAGAGCTGGGTGGGATGGCTGCATCCAGAAAGGCACAGCTGGAGGAGAACAGCTGAGGAAGAAAGCTGCTGTGTATGGCAAGCAGGGATCCCACACCACCTCAGACTCCATAGCTACTGGCTCTGAGCCGCTATCTGTAAAGCAAGAGCTTGGGGACACAGCCTGACAACCACAGCAGTATCTGCTGCAGCTTGGGAGAAGGCTGCTTTTTGGGAAGCAGAGTGGCTTTTAAAGCAAAGTAGCCATTAACTGCACAGTAAAGACTCTTAAATCAGGAATGAATAGCTCTGCCTCCTCTGGGAGGCCACTTGACAGCTCTGGGAGTAGCTACAGAGGCTGCACCTTTCCACCGTAAGAACAGAGCAGCCCAGCTTTTGGTGAGATCCTCTCAGAGATAGGATGACCCACCACAAGGTCACAAAACTGCTTATCAAACCACACTGCCCCAGTTCCCTCACACTGAGCCAAGGGGAGGAGAGGAGAGAACAAACCCAGCTCCTCCATGGTGAAGATCTCCTGGCTTGGACCTGAGAGCTGCTGGCTGTAGCTCCATCCCTCCTGCCCAGATCTGGAGGGAGTCTGCCTACAGCATCTCCCATGGAGGTTTTATTTCCTCCATATCAAAATGTTGCCAACGTTGATTTTGGCAAACCATGGTATAAGACCTGCGTCTCCTTTAGCTCTGTTTCCATGAAGCAGCTTCAAGCATACTTGTTAATACAGTGCCTGATTCAAAAACCTGTCGACGTCATGAAGTTGGTCTCGGTGGGGTTGGGGTAGGTGTGAAGCGAGAGGGTCTGGGCTCTGAACTGTGAGCCCTCTGCTTGTGGGTGCTGGCTCTTCTCACCTTGGAGGTGAGAATACATTTTCTTCTACAGACATGAAAAATCAACTAGCAGTTGATATCCAAATCCTCTCACCCAAATACTTCCACATTAGCACATGGTTTAGAGCTAGATGCAAGTTTTGTGATTCAGATCCAACTCTGAAGCCCCGTGTAACTATTACCTCCACAGGCACTAATTCAGACTTCTTTTGGGAAATCCACATGTGCAGAAAAGTGAGTGAACCCATAGCAAGACTCATGCCTGAAAGACCAGAAATCTATTGTGTTTTTAGACCACAGAGAGTTGTTCATTCAGTTGAAGATTCAAGGAATGTCACAGAAGGCGGAGCCTTGACAATATTGAAGTACCTCAAGGGGTTGATCCTTCTTTTTGGGCCTTTTGTTCATGGATGCACAATCCAATGAATCATTCTCTTCATCGTCTGAGAACACAGAGCCTTTTGTTTCACAGTTTGTCTCAGGTGGCTTTTCATACTTATTGTCCACACCTGTTTAACATGGCCATTTACAGTCTAAACGTGAAGACAAAGGATGAGGAGATCAGTGATGGTTTGATTCATGCTCCCCCAAATGTCACCTCACTACAAAGCCATGCATCTTCCAGGGATTAATATATAGAAGGTTCACACATCACACTCTAGTAATAGCAGCTGTGGGGTTAGAAATCAAAAGGCCCTTGTTTATGAAGCCATTGTAAGCTCTATTTGTATTATTTTACACAGAATCAAGAATAAATTCACAGCCTCTGATGTGCTGGAGGTTGACTCTAGAAAGAGATTTGTTTGTTTGTTTGTTTGGCTCGAGGATAAATAAAATAGCTGATTTCTTGAATCGCTGATTCCATCCATAGTTCCTTTATCTACTACTTCCAGAAGGAGTGCCCTCTAGAAGACACCAAATGAGGGCAGTACAGAGGCAGCTGCCTGTATGCAGAACTATGAAGCACAGCAGCACTAATTGACTTGACGCTGAGAAAATTCAAGCCCAGAACCAGTCTAAGCTCCACTGAAGTTAACTGAAAGCTTCAGCAGGCATTGAAGGGACCCTCAGCAGTGGGTGTGCTGCTGCAAGAGCAGAGCAGGGAAAAGTCTCTCCTGTCACTCTGGAGTAATTCTTATGGAGCACTAACTCCACCGACAGATCTGAAGGCAGATTATGGCCCTTTGGCTACAGACCACTAACGCCTGCTCGGTGGTTCTTATCCTTGTAACTTACAGCAAGATCTTTGTGGGACTGGTCACGTTGCACAACACAATTCATTTGCTGCCTTAAATGCAGAGAGGGAAGCAAGACGGTATTTTTAATGGACAGTCCAAAGCAAGAGGTACAGAAGAGGACGCCCAGTGTGACCAAGCTTTCTGCATCTCCACAGACAGTTTCTTATCAGGAAGGCTGGAGTTTTCTTTGTTTGACTGATCATTAGGCTTTTTTTCATTCAGAAACATGTCAGGAGTGGAAGTGTTTGCTGTTGAGATGGCATTAACCACAATTATTGACTCTACATTTAGACTGTTATATAACCACACATAGACATAATGCTCTGTGCTTCTTGTCTCAGCCTGACTGTAAGACTCTGCTGGACCAAAGACTAAAACCCAAAGACTAAAATCCAAGAGGATTCTTAGAAGTCTAATACTTATTAATCTATTTACATCTTTAAAGCACAGAAGAACTGAATTCCCCAACAGCTCTTTCAGTTGGGTAACAGAGAGACAAAAGGGAAGTGATTTGGCTACAGCAACACAAGTCACAAGCAGGTCACTGGAGCTCTCTCTTGTGCCAAACTCAAGTCAGCAGCTGAACTCTCTCAGTCCCTGCGCTCAGCCCACAGGATGCGGCTGCTGCTCAAGAGAGCGGGGCACACCAGCCTCTGGCCACTGACCCCGTGTTGCTACCCCTTTGCATGGGAAGGGCTGGAAGATGCCATCACGGGTTTCCAGGAAGAGCTGGAAGCTGACTTTTTTCCCAGTTGTACTGAAAATGCTGATAAGCCACATTGCAGAGAGTCCTGTATATGACTCTAGTGTTAACACTACGCTGTGCAGAGAATTAAGTGGTCCTTGCCACTTCTCTCATCCAACAAAAAATGGAGTCAAGTTTGTTCTAAATGCTGTTTGCTCAGCAAAGCCTGAACCAAGCATACCCAAATATACAGCCTGGAGGCCACGTACTGCCCCAATAGCAATTCATCTGACTGCTCCCACCTGTCCTCTTCCCCAGAAGTCCCTCAGATGTGGACTGCAGGCTGGACTTCAGGCAGTCTGTTTCCAGAGAGCGAAAGTGGGTCAGGACTTCTTTAAACTGCCTCACTGAGCTTTGCACAGTGGCCCAACACCACACACCCAGCCGTGTGCTGCTGCAAGGAGACAACAGCTTCCCCCAGCAAAAAGAGGACTTCAAAGGGGACAGGACGGAGGGATGTTGGAGAACCAGAATTAGAGCATTTAGTGATCAGAGTGCAGAGACATGAGCTGCGGAATCTGAAAGCCTAAACCATCAGGCAAATCTGCCCTGCTCCCTTTCTCTTACAGCCAGCCACTCCGCTGCAGAAGGAGACAGAAGGAACTGTCAGCCCTCATAACGCTCCCGTGAATACCATGTTTTTCCAGTGTACGTTGCTTTCTCCGTTATTATTCTCTCTCCTGAATTGGTTGCTGGGTGAAAAAAAAATCCAGGCAGCTCTGCCACCCATGTTACCCATCTCCACGACAGGCACAGCCTCCTGCAGGCTCCTCCACTCTCCCCATCAGCCTGAGCATCGCATCCATGTCCTGGAGGTACTTCTGTGAAGATCGAGAGGAGAGCTCAGCCTCCAGGCTGGCACATACTGCTTTGAGCCCAGCAGCAGAGAGGTCTGCAGAGTCTACTCGAGATTGGGCTGAGTTCTTCTTGCCCCCTGGTTCATCTTATTGTGAATAAGGCACTGA